GGGGCACGTGTAGGCTTGATTGGCGTAAAACCTTCCCAGATGTCTCTGGCACTACCCGGGACTACTCTGGGGACCCTTTCGGATAGCTCACGCTAACTCTGTGAGTTTTGGTCCGTTTTACTCCGTTCCTTTAGGAGAAGGTACCTGACCTTCTCACCTTGGCCCCCTTATGTATCCTGCGAACAGCCTCCGGTCGGACGGATGGCAGTAATGTATACAGTGTTATGAACATGTCTTCATAGACTTCAGTTAACCAGTATGACGGCAACTTCAACCATTTTGACCTATGATGCCCGGGGTGAACCCTGGGGCTGCAGGTACCTGTTAGGAATAATTCTGCCAAGTTACAGCTTGTTCGGATCACTATAGCTCCTCCCATAACCTTTTGATCAATATGCAAGCAAGTGCTCATCGATCGTCCTTGCGTAACAAACAATCCTGACATTTTCTGAAATTCCTCCAAGAACATTTCCGACAAAAGGTAGGGTAATAGTGTCCCAAAGGTAGGGTAAATATGTCCATAGTGACAGGAAACTGGTCTCCATGGTAGGGTAATGTAATATCTTTAGACAGGGTAAACTCACTCAGCCTTCTGACCTATCCTTAGGTCAGAGCGGACATTGTCACATTACTACCACTACTTAAGTACGCCTATTCCTAAAGTACCTTCTATTCCTTGAGATATCTGGACCATCAGATATCCCTCGGACATGTGCTAACATGCCCACCTGCTACTATCCGACCTCATTGTCTTATGTATGGACATAGACTTAGATTGCCATAGCTCTATTACGTAGGGTCATTACAACAAAACTTGTGATATGGTATGGCCGCACATAGCCCCAATTGGGAAGCTGATAGTATACCCTACCACCAGGTTAATCCAAACTGTGCCTGTATCATGGCACTGTACCATGTATTGATCTGTTGCCCCTGTTGGTATAGCTGATACTTGGATGAGGTGGAAACCAATGCTGGGTAAATCCAACCCCTTTCCAGGGATAGCAGATACCTTCCGGGGGGGCGTCAGTTGTAGTAGTTGTATATAACGTGTAGGCAAGAATGGGGATGGGCAGGTGGGCTGTGGGTGAGGAGGGGAGATGGGGAAGATACAGAGGGCAGCAGCATACTAGTACTGTAGATGGCTGAAAACCTTTTACTGAAGTGTCGGTTGATGTCTTGGTGTTTGTTGGGTGAGTACGGTATAGTGGTCTAATATACTCACCCAACCAATGCCAAGACCTGCACCGCCACCCGGTCAAGGTTTAAACGAGAAAACCTTTCATACCATGCGCTTGGCGGTAGACCCTCAGGTTTAAACCATCCATCCATCCTCCCTCCCTCCCGCCTCATCACGTACCCACCCATCCTCATTCTCACTCCTCTGAATACGATCAACCTATCTTGCACGTTAGACCCTACCACGTTAAATACAACTGTTGAATTTTCTAATTTGTTTCATATGTATATTTTCTTTGATAACATCATATATTCCTCTACTTAGTATTATTTCTTAATTATGAACATTACTACAGCTGGAGTATGTATTACGTATATTTCATTTGATATTTCATGATACGATTAGGGATTATGGCGTGCTTTCTTATCTGGTGTTCAGGTTTATTTCTTACAATTTATCCATTCACACCACTTCAAATACACGCATGTTTTATAGAATTTCCTTGGCAGTTCTTCAGGGTCAAACACGCTTGCACTTATGTTTTCCTACTTATGTTACGGTCAGACATGTCGACACTTATATTTTCCCTTACATATTCTCTTGGTTACTCAAAGGATGCACACCTGTATAAATAGGCGTTACCATCCATCTCATTTTAAGAGATTAAGGACAAGAACTACTACCAATCTACCTTCATACCAAATTCCTCCTCGCTTAACGTGCCCGTGGTATACTCTCTCTACTACGTCATATTTTCGTACAAAGTTATTAAGATAGTGCCGTACCGTATACATTCAAACAACAACTACCACGACCGACCCCCCCCCATATTTGCTATCCCTAGAAAGGCGTCTGATTTGGCCAGCATTAACGGCCTATACGTCCGCCTCCGCCTCGCCCAACGCCGCCACCGCAATCCACTCCTATTGAAAAACGGGGGGTTATAGCATAGCAACAGGATAGGGCAAGGATTTGGACAGTAGTACCACGATCACACAATAGGACTTCTCGGTGAGGAAGAAAGATCTCTGTTTCGCACTTTATTTAAATTAAACTAACGGAAAGTATATATAACAAAGAAAATGAACACATCCTCCAATTCTTCTATCCTTCCACCGATCACCACACATATCCATTCTCTTCCGTTCCACGCACGTCTCCCGCTCTTCTACAAGGGACTCTCCCACTACTTCCCAGCCTCCGCCTTCCTTCCAACCG